TGTGCAACTGTCAGCAGACACGCTTGGTCGGAAGGCAGGGTGCCAGCAAGATGACATAGCCAAAATGATGAGTGCGAGGCATGCACGTACCCCGGTTTCCTAGGACACAGATGATCTGCAGGCGGTGGCTGAAGCCCGACGCTTTCCAGGTGCTGTGCGGAGCTCTCCCAGGCGCTTTGCTGGGCTTTGGGATCTAAACGGTTCTTCAGAAACAGGGGGGCTGGATGCCACCCCACCCTAAGGTGCTGCACACCCTCCTCTCACCCCTCCCCTCTCAGCAGGGGCTGTGCTCATCTCCATGAATAAAAACCAAGTGTTCTTTTCACCCAGTTTGAAATATGTGCAAAAGGGAAAATGTTTCTAGTTCAAACTCTTATCTCTTGGGAGATCAGATCAGTTAAAAACAACCTGGGACCAAACACCTGGCTGTCAACAAATGTGGTACCTCCTGCTTCCTTCTGGGTGAAACGGGCACAATTCAAGTGGGCTCCCGTGAGCACCCCCACTGTCTCCTTGTGTGGACAAAGTGCCTGTCTGGGGACAGTCCCTTCCCCTGCATCGAAGGAATCAGAGCCTCCATCTCCAGCCACCCATCCATCCAATTTCAAGGCATTTCTGGAAATACCACTTCCTACTGAGATTCAGCTCTATGCTGCCTAGAAACTGTAGTGCTGTCTCGTCTGCCAATGGCACAGACCCATTCCTCCACTGCTTGAGAGGAGTGAGGTGAGGACCGCAGGGCTGGGATAGCACCGTGGAGGTCGCATGCCCCAGTGACAGAAGGCAGCGGCCAGGCCAGGTTCCCACACCCAACCAGCAACAGCAGACGCGGCAGGCTCCTCACTCCTCACTGAGCCCACTTCCCGCCACTGCCATGCAGCCAAACTGGTCAGGCCCCAGTGAGAGCAAGGAAAATGCTCTGCTTCCACCCTACCTGACACATGGCTTTGATCCTGCCGCTGCATGTGAACACATGCAACCTACACCACACCCACAACGTCACACACACCACACCCACACACATATACCACATAAACCACACACCAAACACACATGCACACACACATCGCACACACCACTCATGGGCGTGGGAGATGGGCCCGCAGGGCAGGTGCTGAGGTGGACCTCGGGTTGGATCAGTCCACTCTGCCCAGACACCTGGCTCATGCCCTCCCCCCACTCAGCTGGATTTTCATTTTCTCACACTGCAGCAGTGTCATCCTAAGAAATAGCACAGGAACAAAGCACCCTGGGGATGACAGGGACACTTACCCTGGAAACCTGTGCAGACCACAGGTGAGTAGGAGACAGGACCTGAGAAGCTCTCCTGGGATCACTAGCCTCAGAGGCCCCAGGGAATGAGGGGTCCGGAGGCCTTGTTACCAGGCCACTGTGGGGTGGGTGGTTGTCTCCCAGGGCTCCTGGACACCAGTACCACCTGTGGGCAGGCCCAAGCTGGCACTAACACAGCTCTGCTACACTGACCTCCACCTAGAAGCCATGTCCAAGCGAGGTTAGAGCCCAGACAGCCACAGCTGACCAGATAGCTACTCTGGCTGCTGGGCACCGCTGTCCATGGTGCTGCCCAGGCCAGGCCCTTGTTACCAAGGTCCCATCAGGTGCCCGACCAAAGCACTACCAGAGACACAGGGTAGACAGTCGGGCTGCTGGACTGGGTCTCTGACCCTTGAGAATCTAGCCAACGGCACACGGAGGCCACAGATTGTAGAGACATCAGAGCCATAATCATGGTAACTGACAACCAAGGCATGGCACCCCTCAGGGAGGGCGGTCAGTCTAAGGTACCTACACTTCCAAAAGGACTGACTGAGGAAGCCCAGTTCCTGGACGGCGACGTCTCAGTGGATTCACCTCACAAGCTGTTGGTCAGCATGGCCTTCACAGTTCTTGAAAGCACTTCCTGCTAATTAAAGATTAACGCTGTCCTGCCTCGTACACAGAACATGCTTTTCCCGACACACATGCACAGACCATGGATGGTGCAGGGGGCCGCACTACCGTTACTCTAGGGGCAGATGATCTCAACACTTGCTGTCCCGAAGGCTGGCAGGCCCCCAAACAGTTCCCGTGTGACACTGAAGGAGGCCAGGCTTGAGGGGTGGGGAATGCACTACCCCAGGGCACCCTAAGTCTGCAGGTGGCGGGGTTCTCCCGACTGACTCAGAGACATAGTGACCTCAGCCACTCACGCCTTTGAGAAATGACCCTACCTCAGGGTCATCTTTGCTTCATGAAAATAACTTTAGAAGCTACAAAATCAGAGTACAGGCACAGCCACCTGAGTTGATCGCCCTCTTGGTGGCCACAACAGGTTCACTGTATAAACATTACGAAATAAAGAAGAACAGGGAACCTGCAAAGTCAGGCCTCCAGCCGGGGGCCACCAGGCCTTCTGAGTACAGACACGCATACAGGGACTCCAATGTGACCAATGTTTTGTGGGGCCCACGTCACAGCCTGCTTTTGTCCCCTAACTGCAGCACGCTGTCGTCCCATCCAACACAGATGCTCCACACTGACTTTACGGACTGCACATCTAGTGTGACTGATCGACATACTGAAATCCAGGTGGTCCAAGACTTTCCATTATAATGCTCTGTGAACCTGCGTGCTATTCTGCTGTGCACGTCTGAGGTCCTGATGAACGCCCCCTCACTGCCAGGGTCTACACTGCAGGTGAGGGAGGTTGGTGTGGGCAGGAGGGCCAGGGAACAGCCACAGGAGGGAGCAGAGGTAGGCACAGGGCTGGCCAGGCAAAGGTGCTCACACACAGCTCACCTGAACACTCATATGTGTGCACACACCTGAGTACAGGGCTTCCCTTTGGGTAATGGAAATAACACCGTGAAGGTGCAAAGGCCACTGAATTGTGTATTGACAATGGGTAATGGTTAATTTTCTCAGGTGGATTTTACCAAAATAAGATGATTTAACAAAACATGAAGCCCTTGGGTCAGAGGTTCCTCCAGGCCTGACGATTCCTTCATGTTCATTCCCTGCGGGCCTGCAGCTTTCTGAGCAAAAAGGCCTTGCCCTGGGCTGGGCCTAAATTTATATTGACAAAGTGTAAGTAAAGATAAAGATAAAAATATCTTTAAAAAGTTTCTTTTCTGCCCTGGCCAGATGGCTGTTGGTTGGAGCACTGTCCCATACACCAAAGATTGTGGGTTCGATTCCTGGTCAGGGCGCAAATAAGAGGCAGGAGATCAATGTTTCTCTTTCTCTCAAATAAATAAAAACATATCCTTGAGCAATGATAAAAAAAAAAAAATCCCTTTCTGCTCTCGTAAGTCATAGCTGCTTTAAAAAAAAAAATTTTACAAACGACAAGTGCTGGCGAGGATGTGGAGAAAAAGGAACCCTCGTGCACTGCTGGTGGGAATGCAGACCTGAGTTGTGCAGGAATCCCTAGACATCACTGCGGGGGCCGAGAACCAGTCTAGATGCTGAGGAGATGCGGGGGCCGAGAACCAGGCTAGATGCAGCCACTGTGAACAGTATGGAGTTTCCTCAAAAAACTAAAAATGGAACTCCCATTTGACCCAGTGGTCCCACTTCTAGGAATATATCCCTTAGAAACTAGAAACACCAATTAGAAAGGATATATGCATCCCTATGTTCATAGCAGCACAATTCACTATAGCTAAGATCTGGAAACAGCCTAAGTGCCCATCAGTAGATGAATGAATTAAAAAATATTAAAATATTTTCCTTAGTGTTGAAAAAAACCCATCATTTAGCCCTGGCTGCTATGCTCAGTGGTCAGAGCATTGGCTTGTGCAGTGAAGGATCTTGGGTTCAATTCCAAATCAAGGAATCTCTCTCTCCCTCTCCCTTCCCCTACTTAATCAATAAAAAAATATTTTTATTGATTTCAGAGAGGAAGGGAGAGGGAAAGAAACATCAATGATGAGAATCACTGATGGGCTGCCTCCTACATGCCCCACATTGGGGACCGAGCCCACAACCTGGGCATGTGCCCCGACCAGGAATCGATCTATGACCTCCTGGTTCATAGGTTGATGCTCAGCCTCTGAGCCATGCCGGCGGGGCCACAGCTGCTTCTTGATGGTTCACTTGTGACAGGTTTTGCTCCCTTTCTCCAAAAGGCGGAGCACCTTTATCTACCCTACACAAGGCTTCAGCCAGCCCTTCTCGCCAGGCAGGGAGCGGCCAGCAGGGCCTGTCCAGCAATGCTCATGGGCCCAGACTTATCCCACTGCCCACTATCTCCAAGTCACACACATTCTTCCCCCAGGACTGCCAACCTGGAAGGTAACCGATTCTCCACATTTGTGTTTTCACAAAAAGGGGACAGAACAGAAAGTTGTGCAGGAATCTCTAGACATCACTGCGGGGGACGAGAACTAGGCTAGATGCTGAGGAGATGGCAGGAAAAATGGACGCGGTCAAACTCTCATGACAAAGGATTTTTACTGAAAAGTCACACAAGAGTGGACACCTAGTAGTGCTGTAAATAATTCTACACAATTACACTCTTTGTGTATCTTATTAAGATCTTTATACTTTGCCAATATAAGCAGGCATCCAGCAAACATATCCACAATAAAGAACATTTTATGGACATAACGCTTCATCGTAACTGTTAAGACAGCTGACCTCCAAGTCTTCCAGCAGAATGACAACAGCAGGTCAACAGCAGGTTCACCCCACACTGCGGCTCTGTGCCCGCTCCAAGTCTTTCTCAGGCACATGAATTAATCACAGAGAAGCTGTACGCAACTCCCTGCCTGTCCAGGACCAGGAGGGTGCTCGACCAGCTCTCTATGTGCTTCTGTATGGCTCCCACCATGATTTGCCTCAGAAATGTGGGGATGTGGGGGGGACAGTGGGAAAGAATATACAGGATCCCCAACAGACTCTGCTTCCCAAAGGGGGACACGGGGCAGAACAGGTGCGCCCACACCCGCCGCAGAGAAGGGCTTCACTGACACCACGAAGTTCAGAGAAAGACCACACCAGCTTTACACCCCCTTTATTTAGGGTTCCCACTATTCAGGTTCACAGGACTATCTACAGAAACACTGGGTCCATGTGCGGCCAACATGATCAGAGACAATTCACCCCCTCCCTGCGCTGCTTCCTGCAGGCCCAAGGGAACATGATAGTCTTTGTCTCACAACAAAAACTCTGTACATGCAAATAAAAACAAAACAAAATAAAAACAAAACAAAGAAAAACAATTAATGACTATCTACAAGGCTAGCTCTTTGTAGAGGCTGCAGGTTCTGGAGACTGAAGAAATTCGTACGGGTCATGTGTCACTTCTGGCTGCTCACCGACACTGAGGCGAGAAGGGCTTCCTGCACGCATGGGAAAGACAAGACATTTCAGCAGATCTGTATGGTCCAGGCTCAAATCTCATGTCTGCTGTTAGCAAAGCCCAGAGCAATGGCTCCTGGGGTGCAGGCCATCCCCTCATCCCGCCCAGGGTACCACCCCCACCACTCCTGGGGAGGAGGCGGAGAGCCACTTGTCACAGACAGGGCTGTAAACACCCTGAAACTAGAGGCTGGCCCTGCCTTCTGCAGGAACAAAGGCTCCTTGGCCAGGAGTCCCTCAGACAAACCCTAGGTCCCCCCAAACCCTTCCCTTACGCCCCCTGGAGTCCACCAGGATGATGGAGTCCTCAGATCTGGAGCCAACCTAGGGCTCTACCTGGAACCTACTTCATGGGCTTTCTTACAAGGTTAATGGGACCAGAAATACTGATCCTTATTCAGACATTTTTCACCAAAACTCTGAAGCTGATTACTTTCCCCCACCAATTATTCTCAGAAAGAATAATTCAATATTCCTACCTGGGAACTAAATCAGTAGCACAGACATTCAAGGAGCCACGAGGCAAATATTTGGTTCCCCTCCTGGCAGGGCTATGATACTCATTAAATACAGGAGCCCTGCCCTGACCAGTGCCTCAATGGTTAGAGCGTCGGCCCATACACCAAAGGGTTTGGGGTTTGATTCCCAGTCAAGGGCACATACCTGGATTGCAGGTTCTATTCCTAGCCAATCAATGAGTCTCTCACATCAACGTACCTCTCTTTCCCCTCCCGCAAACCCCCTTCCCCCGCATCTCTCTAAAAACAAATGGAAAAATATCCTCGGGTGAGAATTACAACAAATAAAAAACATGGGCCCGTCCCTGGCCAAGGAAGGTCATGTGCTCTCCCCAAATAAGGAACCTGGAGGAATAAACTTGTCAACACACTGTTTTACAACTAAACATGGGAACAACAGACAGAAACAAACACTCCAATGTCTAACTGCATGGCTGCAGGGTCTACAGCCATGGCCTCATTCTGCCACGACTAAGGACCTCAATATGCAGCCACCAAGGACTCCTCCTGACACATAGACTGCCAGCATCCTATGGCCAAGGCCACAAATTCGTAACACAAACTGAATTCCACTCAAACACTTCTCCTCAGTGCCCACATGACCAGGGAGGCCTGCTCTCCAAGCTCCAGGGAGCTGGAATCCCGTGAGCCTGGACTCACTGCCCATACCAGCTGCAACCCCCTGGGATTGCTAGCCTTTCCTGACAGTCACCAGCACTCCTGTTCTTCCCCTAGACTGATGAAAGATTCGGGCAGAGGTCAGGCCAGGGGCCGCCTTACCCAGGTGGTGCTGATCCCTGTCAGAGGTGTTAGACAGGGAGCTGAGGTTGGATGATGGCCGGGAGCCCCCACGCTCTGCTTGTGCCTCATGCAGATCCTGTAGGAGCTTTGTCGTCTCGTCCAAGTTCAGATGGCTGTCATCATGGTCCAGCTCCTTCTTCACTTTCCCTGTGCAAACACAGGTTATGAGACATCGATCCAGGTCCACCTATCAAGCACTGAGTGCTGGCACTTCTGGTCTGCAATTGCAGTCTCTCACTCGTCACTATGTACACTCAGGACAATGACCCCTCATAAGTGAAGCCAGATGAGCACAGGCAAGCTTGGAGGACAGGGTGATATAGTTGGAGCAAGTGGAAGGGGTGGGGAATGACGGGAGGGGCAACGTGCCTCACAACCAGGCGCCACACCAGAGGCCTTATGGACAGAGGCCTTGCATTCCTGTCACAAACAGCTAGAAGACAGTATGATGTGTGGGACAGAGGCCTGCAGAGACCAGGATTAGGCACAGGCTACAGGTCACTGAAGGGTCAGGCAGTCAGTGGGCTACGAGCTGGAGAAGACAGGCTGCCTGGAGCTCACAGATTTGGTCAAGCACTGCTCTGCACCCCGCCAGGAAGTTCAACAGCTCACACATGTGTGTGACAATCTGTGTCCCAAGCATGTGGAAGAATGCAGCTTATGGGTGGGACCGTGTTTACCCCACACTGCGGCTCTGTGCCCGCTCTAAGAATTCCTCAAAGCAAAACCCAGATAGGGTCCGACAGCTCCAAGTTTCCCAACAGCCTGTTGGAGCAAGGTCCACCACAGTTTAAAGGTATGTGACCAGAGTCTCTCCAACAAACCACCGGGCAGGTAACGAAGCCCCGACCAGAGAGGAACATTGTGAAGAGATGCAGAAATGAGCATATAGGGTGTTAAAATGACAACTGAATACACACTCCATGTGTTAAAGGCAGAGAAACCAGGACCATGAGGTGAGAAAGAGACGACGACACTGAGAAGCAGAATGGAGCTAGCCGGGAAGGGAAACCACAGGAAGGACAACAGCAGGTCAACAGAGCAGAAGGGATGACCAGTGCCCTTGAGGATGCAGCATGGGACAGCCCAAAACAGAGACTCAACAACGAATGGGCAGAATCAGAGTATAGCTAAACTTCCCATATTTGATAAAACCTCTAAACCTGCGGTTCTCAACCTGTAGGTTGTGACCCCTTCGGGGGTCGAACGACCCTTTCACAGGGGTCATCTAAGACCATCGGAAAACACATATATAATTACGTATTGTTTTTGTGATTAATCACTATGCTTTAATTATGTTCAATTTGTAACAATGAAATTGGGGGTCACCACAACATGAGGAACTGTGTTAAAGGGTCGCATTAGGAAGATTGAGAACCACTGTAAACCCTCAGGATCAAGCACCTGAACATAACCTAGGAAGACTAAACCTAAAGAAAAAAACACATTACGACCAAACTACTGACAACCAGAAATAAGGAGAAAATCTTAAGATGCAGCCAGAGGAAAACAGGATGGCTGGTGTA